GTGTGGTGTATAGTGTGTGTGTGTAGTGTGTGGCGTATAGCGTGTGTGTGTAGTGTATAGTGTGGTGTATAGTGTGTGTGTGTAGTGTGTGGTGTATAGTGTGTGTGTGGTGTATAGCATGCGTGTGGTGTATAGTGTGTATGTGGTGTATAGCGTGTGGTGTATTGTGTGTGTGGTGTATAGTGTGTGTGTAGTGTGTGGTGTATAGTGTGTGGTGTATAGTGTGTGTGGTGTATAGTGTGTGGTATACAGTGTGTGTGTGTAGTGTGTGGTGTATAGCGTAAGTGGTGTATAGCTTGCGCGTGGTGTATAGTGTATATGTGGTGTATAGCGTATGGTGTATAGTGTGTGTTAGTGTGTGGTGTATAGCGTGTGGCGTATAGCATGTGGTGTATAGTGTGTGTGTGTAGTTTGTGGTGTATAGTGTGTGTGGTGTATAGCGTATGGTGTATAGTGTGTGGTGTATAGTGTGTGTGTGTAGTGTGTGGTGTATAGTGTTCGTGTGTGGTGTGTAGTGTGTGTGGTGTATAGCGTGTGTGTGGTGTATAGCGTGGTGTATAGTGTGTGTGGTGTATAGTGTGGTGTATAGTGTGTGTGTGGTGTACAGTGTGTATGTGTGTGAGAGATATAGTGTGTGTGGTGCATAGGGTGTGTATTGTGTATAGTGTGTGTGTGGTGTATAGTGTGTGTGGTATATAGTGTGGTGTATTGTGTGTGTGGTGCATAGTATGTGTGTGTGGTGTATTGTGTGTGTGGAGTATAGTGTGTGTGTGTGTGAGATATAGTGTGTGTGGTGTATAGGATGTGTGTGGTGTATAGTGTATGTGGTGTATAGTGTGTGTGGTGTATAGTGTGTGTGGTGTATAGCGTGTGTGTGTGGTGTATAGTGTGTACAGTGTGTGTGTGATGTAGCGTATGTGTGGTGTATAGTGTGGTGTACAGTGTGTGTGTGGTGTACAGTGTGTGTGTGGTATATAGTGTGTGTGTGGTGTACAGTGTGTGTGTGGTGTATGGTGTGTGTGTGGTGTATAGCGAGTGTGTGGTGTATATCGTGTGTGTGGTGTATAGCATGTGTGGTGTATAGCATGTGTGTGTGGTGTATAACGTGTGTGTGGTATGTAGTATGTGTGATGTATAGTGTGTGTGGTATATAGTGTGTGGGGTGTATAGCGTGTGCGTGTTGTGTGTATAGTGTGTGTGGTATATAGTATGTGTGGTGTCTAGTGTGTGTGGTATATAGTATGTGTGGTGTATAGTGTGTGTGGTATATAGTATGTGTAGTGTCTAGTGTGTGTGTGGTGTCTAGTGTGGTGTATAGCGTGTGTGGTGTATAGCGTGTGTGATGTATAGCGTGTGTGGTGTATACTGTGTGTGTGTGGTATATAGTGTGTATTGTGTGCATGGTGTATAGCGTGTGTTTGTGGTATATAGTGTGTGTGGTGGATAGCATATGTGTGTGTGGTGTATAGTGTGTGTGGTATATAGTATGTGTAGTGTCTAGTGTGTGTGTGGTGTCTAGTGTGGTGTCTAGCATGTGTGGTGTATAGCGTGTGTGGTGTATAGCGTGTGTGGTGTATAGCGTGTGTGGTGTATAGTGTTGTGTGTGTGGTGTGGTGTATAGCGTGTGTGGTGTATAGTGTTGTGTGTGTGGTGTATAGTGTGTGGAGTATGTGGTGCGAGGAGGCGGCAGCCCTGTGCACGGATGTGCCGTGGCACGTGGTCATGGGACCCCAGAGGCCACATCTCTTGGAGAGCCTGTCGGGGTGGGCGTGGCCAGGGGAGGGCGGGTCTGGTTGGGCGGGTCCAGGAGGGCGTGGCCAGGAGGAGGGCGGGTCAGTGGGCGTGGCCAGGGTGGGAAGGTGCAGCCTGCCGGGTGGCCGTGGCCGGCTGACCACGTGTTGTCACGTTGGTGTGAGCACTTCCGTGTTCCCTGCCATTTGCTAGGGGCCACGTGATTTCAAGTACTGAAGCGCCTGTAATTTCCACGTTGTTTGAAAACAACTCATAGTGGAATCTGATAAAAGATCTGAGCCTTGATTTGAGAACTGGAGATGACATTTGTAGAAAACGTGCCCAAGCCTAAATGACGTAGCGTCTAGACGTTGCTTACGAGCAACCGTGGAGTAGTTTTCTGGGTAACGTGCGACTTCATGTCCTCCTAGTTCCCGATGTCAGCCGAAACGGGGACCCGTTCGTGGCCACGTCCATCGTGGAAGCGATCGCCACCGTGGATAGAGCCATCAACTCCACCCGGACGCACCTGTTCGACAGGTATGGTGGGGCGGAACCTGGCGCTACCGGGTTGCCGGGCGTGGTCGGGAGCCTGGGGGACACGGTTCTAGCAGCTGACCTTGACCTGCTCCTTCTGATGACAGAAACTTAGTGGAAGCATCATGAACAGCATTGCTTCTCACCTCTCTGGGGGCTCAGGTGGCAGAAGGTGTGACACCTGCTTTTCTAGTAGAACCAGAGCCGTGATTCCCCACCAGAGCAGTGCTACTAATTCCACCTCGCTGTTTTCGCTCGTTACTAAATGACTTGGTGGAAACCAAGGACCTCGAAGGCCGCGGGTGTCTTTGTCCGGGTGGCCGTCTCCAAAGCAGTCCGTCTGCACCTTCCCCGAAATGTGGTATCTGTGATTCTCTCTGCTGACCGAATTAATGACTTGTTTTTAGTGTCTTCTGGTTCTTGTCTGTTTGTTTTGTTGCCTCCTCCGTGGGATGAGTAAGGTATGGTACATCACCTTGTAGCGCGTAGCTCTAGAAGCATTAATAGCAAGAATTACATTTTCAGACGCTAGTGATTTTATCCTCAGTGATTCCTTTCGTTGCTCCCCTTCTCTCCCCATGCTGCCACCAGCCGCCCCCGCTCTCCCAACGACCTGCTGGCCTTGTTCCGGTACCCCCGCGACCCCTACACGGTGGAGCAGGCACGGGCGGGCGAGATATTCGAGCGCACGCTGCAGCTGATCCAGGAGCACGTGCAGCACGGCCTCATGGTGGACCTCAACGGGACAAGTCAGTGCCTCCCCGCTGCGCCCCACCCCGCCTCACCGGCCGCAGTCCCGCCCCGAGGGGGGGTTGGCACTCCCGCCACTGCGCTCAGGGACTGGGGGATTGTGCGCCCAGACCAGGGTCCTCCTGCACTCACACATCCCACAGCCCCCTCCTGGGGTCTGATGGGAAACTCAGGGACATTAGACCCCGTGGGATGGTTAGGACCCCGCAGGTCACCCACACAGGCGCTGGGTCGCCCTTCCTGCCGGGGGCCACGGACAGGGCTGGGGAAGCCACTGCCGGACGACAGATGGGTAGGGATGCCATGTCCGGGGGACTCAGTGTCCTGCGTTGTTGGAGGGGTGTTTCTGAAGAGTTGCCACCGTGCCCTCACGTGGCTATCGTCCATAAGCAAGAGGTGGCTTCCTACGCCATCGTCACCACTGTTAGTAGCTGTGCTGTCAGCAAAACGGGGCGTGACTGAGACCTTTGTGATGTAAAAGTATCGTTTTTAGCAGCAGCCACGTACTCAGACTTGTGCACACACGTGCACTCACATGTCCACACACACACATGCACAGACAAGCATGCACACATGGACACACAAACATGCACACATGCACTCACATGGATATGCATGCATGCTCGTGTGCACACATGCACGCACACGTGCACACACGAATGGACACAGAAGCATGCACACATGCACTCACATGGACATGCATGCACGCTCGTGTGCACACATGCACGCACACATGCACACATGCACCCACATGGACATGCACGCATGCACATGCACACATGCACAGCATAGCAGGGAATGCCAGTCGCAGCTGCCCACGTGACAGGAGGGAACTGCTTTATCATTTTTCAGGTTTCAAATTTCCTTCGATGAGCATATCTTTTCCGATCAGGGCAACAGAAATTACTTAAGAATTTAATCTTCTTCTTTACTGTGGGCATGAGACAGAGATGTGGAAGTGAGAATTGAGGGGTCTTTTCTCCGCGTCTCACGAGCGATCTTCCCGATCCAGTCCTGCCCTGCTGGGCTCGGGCCCCCCCTGAGCTGAGGCTTCCGGGCTGCGGCAAGTGTGAAGCGTGTGGACAGAGCCTGTGTCCCCGTCCTCCGGGCAGCTGCCTCCCGGCCTCCCAGGCGGGGTGCGGAGTTGGAGGTCTCAGAGCGTTCCCGCTTCTCTTTGCGGGTGGAGCTCCAGCCTGACCTCCCGCACAGCCCTGGGGAGAGGCACAGCCCACCTCCCTCCTTGGCAAGGATTAGCCGGGCCCCTTCTGGGCGTCAGGCACGGGCTGGGCAAGGGCAGGGTGCGGGGCGCTGTCTCCGTGGGACTCTCTGGTGTGAGGGACCACGTTCTCTCTGGTCTCGAGGACAAAGTGGGAGCTACTAAGTGTGATTTCTAGCTCCGTCCTGCCTTTCTGCATTTAGCCACAAGTTCGGACCTCTAAACACTGCTGCGCGCCCGCAGCTAGTAGGACGCGAGAACTTGTGAGTCTGCCGGAGGAGTACAATCCATCCCGAGACCATCCTGCGCCCAGGCTGCGAGGCCACTCCTGCGGATCTGCAGGCCAGTTGTGCATCAGTCTGTGCTGATTGTAGAAAGGTCTGGAGACTTAGAAAGGCAAAAGGAAAAATGTGAAATTGCCCCCAGTAATGTGAGACAGTTGTGTCCGTTTGCGTTTGCCTGGGTGGCAGTGAGGTCCACGTGCACACGCTTGTTACTTCATCCATTCATTCCGCCCACGCACAGTGGCCTCATACACGTCGCCACCCTGGGACTGGGGACAAAGCAACAAGACGTGAGACTCTCAGCCCATGGGGATCTGGCATCTGGAGCGAGGCAGGCAGAGACAGGAGGGGTCAGCGCACAGTCAGCCCGCAGGCACCATGGGGGAGAGCCCACAGGCCGTAGACGGTGGAGCCCTGGTGGGCGGGGGTGCTGTTGCTAGTTGGTGCAGAGACCCCCAAGAGCAGGGACCCTGGGCCGCTGAGCACACGACAGACACCAAAGCTCCCAGGCGGGGCCCTTGGCCGCTGAGGCCGGTGGACGAGTGGGCGTGGCAGGAGCAGGGAGGACATGAAGTCAGGGACGTTCCATGATCTCTGACCTGAGAGGGGCTCTGGGGAGGTACAGGGTGTGTCCTTTCCTGCGCACGAGACAGGAGCCTTGAGGGCTATGTGCAAACGGGGACATGGTTGGACGTGTTTTAACGGATCGGGCTGGGGGATGGCCACACGAGGAAGGCAGCCCGGGAAAGTGGGACGCAGGGGCGTGTGCTGCCCACGCTGGCCCGGACCCATCTGCCTCCAGACCTGCAAAAAGACCACGGAAAAAGCGAACACACGCAGGGAAAGCACAGACCTACCCCACGCCCCACTGGCGCTCGGAGGAAGCCCGTTCTCCCGGCTCTGTGCTTTCTTGGCTCTTGGTTGTCCGAGGCTGGGAATTTTCCAGGGCTCTCCTAAGAGTGGCTGAGAATAGAGCCAGACGGCTCGGCTTCCCTCTTGCAGCCTCTGGGAAGAACGTGCTGCCGGCGCCTCCCTGGGGAGACCTGGCTGGGCACGGGGTGGGCGGGAGCCCAGGTGCATGTTCCCCGCACGGGTGCCCCTCAGCACACCAGGAAGTGTGTTTCTGCTGCTGCTCCCTCCTCCACCTCTCACGTTCTCAAGTGGGTTTGTGCACGCGAGCCCACACCAATCGCAGCGTCTCCTGTGAACGTGTGCAGGGATGTTCCCCATCTGGATGGCCACCATGGCTGAGCAACGCTAGAACAAAGAGGCCGTGATGGCTGAGGACTCCAGTGTGGAAGTGTGTACACGTGTGTGTCTGTAGGCTTGTCTCTGCGTATGCAGTGGAATGAATGTGTGAACGTTTGTGTGTGGGAGTGTACACGCGAGTGGGAGTGCGTGTGTGTACACATGTGAAAGTGTGTGCATATGAGTGTGGGTCTGCCTGCAAGTGTGCATGTGTGTGCACATAATTGAGAGTGAGCACGTGTGTGTGAACATCTGTGTCTGAGCGCGTGCATGTGAGACTGCATGTTAGTGTGTGAGCATGTCTGTGCACATGTGAGTGTGTGAACATGTGAGCGTGAGTGTGAACATGTCTGCATGTGAATGTGCACGCGAATGCATGATTGGGTGTGTGATTGTGAGAGCGTGTATGTGAACACGTGTGTGTGCATGTGAGTGCAGGGCTGGGTGTACATGCATGATTGTGAGCAGGTGTGTAGTTGTGAGCGTGTGTGTGTGTGTGTGTGTGTGTGTGTGTGTGCAGTTTTGGGCAGGCCCTGCAAGGTGCCCCGTACAGGCAGGACGTTGAGGAGGCAAAGGCCGTGGGAGTGACTGTTTGGGGCAGTGCCGTGGGCAGCCGGGTGTGACTGTGGGGTCCCAGGACCCTGTGGTGGTGGTGCTCAGGGGCAGACGTCTTCCGGGTGAGGACCAGGAACTGCGGTTGGGAAGACCTGTCCCGTGTGTTGGAGGAATATCCCAGGCCAGCAAGTTTGGATCTGGGCAGTAGCCAGTGGGCAGAGACCGGAGGTCTGTGAGCAGGGAGGTGACGTAGCTGGAGCCCCCATGCAGCCCAGGGAGAGGGGCTCCTGTGGGCTCCTCCAGGCAGGCGCCAGGACACTTGTGCTGGGATCCCACCTCAGGAGTGGAGAGGGGGGCGGGGCCTCGGGGGTGTCCTGGAGGCGTCAGACACGGAGGTGGCCACAGTGCAGTGGACATAGGGCAGGGGAGCAGGAGCCTCTGATCCACCTGGGGTCCGGGGCAGGGTCCTGCCCCTCCACACAGAGGCCCATGATACTCTGTCATGTGGAACTGTGCAGCCAAGACAGGAAACCGTGGGCGGGGAGACCACCACGAGGGCGTCTCCCATGGCAGACTCCACGTCTGAGACCCAAGTCTGCCTGGCTGTGAAGGGAGCAAGGCTGGGAAACCCCCGTGTGCGGAGCTGGGCGGGGCGTCCCGTGTCCCTGGCGGGCGAGTGCGCCACCGCGTCCCCAGTGGGTCAGGCCCCGCCTGCTGTGCCGCTGCAGGTTACCACTACAATGACCTGGTGTCCCCGCAGTACCTGCACCTCATCGCCAACCTGTCGGGCTGCACGGCGCACCGGCGCGTGAACAACTGCTCGGACATGTGCTTCCACCAGCGGTACCGCACGCACGACGGCACCTGCAACAACCTGCAGCACCCCATGTGGGGCGCCTCGCTGACCGCCTTCGAGCGCCTGCTCAAGGCCGTGTACGAGAACGGCTTCAACACGCCGCGCGGCATCAACCCGCACCGGCTGTACAACGGGCACGCGCTGCCCGCGCCGCGCCTGGTGTCCACGACGCTGATCGGCGCGGAGGCGGTCACGCCGGACGCACAGTTCACGCACATGCTGATGCAGTGGGGCCAGTTCCTGGACCACGACCTGGACTCCACGGTGGTGGCGCTGAGCCAGGCGCGCTTCTCGGACGGGCAGCACTGCAGCTCCGCCTGCAGCAGCGACCCGCCCTGCTTCTCAGTCATGATCCCGCCCAACGACCCCCGCGCCCGTGGCGGGGGCGGCAGCGCGCGCTGCATGTTCTTCGTGCGCTCCAGCCCCGTGTGCGGCAGCGGCATGACGTCGCTGCTCATGAACTCCGTGTACCCGCGGGAGCAGATCAACCAGCTCACGTCCTACATCGACGCGTCCAACGTGTACGGCAGCACGGACCACGAGGCGCGCGGCATCCGCGACCTGGCGAGCCACCGCGGCCTCCTGCGCCAGGGCATCGTGCAGCGGTCGGGGAAGCCACTGCTCCCCTTCGCCGCGGGGCCGCCCACCGAGTGCATGCGCGACGAAAATGAGAGCCCCATCCCCTGCTTCCTGGCCGGGGACCACCGCGCCAACGAGCAGCTGGGGCTGACCAGCATGCACACGCTGTGGTTCCGCGAGCACAACCGCATCGCCGCCGAGCTGCTGGCGCTGAACCCGCACTGGGACGGCGACACCATCTACCACGAGACGCGCAAGATCGTGGGCGCCGAGGTGCAGCACATCACCTACCAGCACTGGCTGCCCAAGGTCCTGGGCGAGGTGGGCATGAAGATGCTGGGCGAGTACCGCGGCTACGACCCGGGCGTCAACGCCGGCATCTTCAACGCCTTCGCCACCGCGGCCTTCAGGTTCGGCCACACGCTGGTCAACCCGGTGCTGCACCGGCTGGACGAGAACTTCCAGCCCATCCCGCAGGGCCCTCTCCCGCTCCACAAGGCCTTCTTCTCCCCCTTCCGCATCGTGAACGAGGGCGGCATCGACCCGCTGCTGCGCGGGCTGTTCGGCGTGGCGGGGAAGATGCGCGTGCCCTCCCAGCTGCTGAACACGGAGCTCACCGAGCGGCTCTTCTCCATGGCGCACACGGTGGCGCTGGACCTGGCCGCCATCAACATCCAGCGCGGCCGGGACCACGGCATCCCGCCCTACCACGACTACCGGGTCTACTGCAACCTGTCCGCCGCCCACACCTTCGAGGACCTGAAGAACGAGATCAAAAACCCCGAGATCCGGGAGAAGCTGAAAAGGTGAGCTTGCCTGCGTGGCTCGGGTAGACCCGCCTCGTGGGTGCGTGTTGGTGCTTGTCTCCGTGTTGAGTCGTGTGTGCCGGGAAAGGCTCCATAAAGGAAGTGGATGGAGGCCCAGCTTGGGCGGGCTGTGTCCTCCTCCCATGGCCTCCCCCCCCCCGTGTCCCGGGGGTGGGCTAGGCTGAGCTGCAGCAGGATTTCAGCACAGAGCGGGTTGTGCCTCTCTGTCCAGGGAGACTGGAGAGAGAAGTGGGCACAGGGAGACAGCAGGCCTGAGCCGGGCGGGGCTGCAGGGGAGGGGCCTGCCCTCCCATCAGGAGCAGAGAGTGAGGTGGAGCTTGGCCTTGGCAGACGCCCGGGGACCCACCAGCCCTGCTGTCTGGCGCTGTAGCCTCTTCCCACTCGCCGTGTCACCTGAACTCAGGCCTGTGTGGCCACCTGCTTGGCCTCCGCCAGCGGTGTGGGCTTCTGGGCCACAGCTGGGGCAGGTCTCACTGGCCGCCCTGGTGGCACCTGGGACCACCTGGGCAGCCAAACGGCGAAGTTTCACAGTGAAGCAGAGGCCGCAGCCGTTACCCAGGGCACCTGGGGCCCAGGTCTGGGTCAGGCTCAGGCTCCCGACCCACAGCCAGTCCCTTCCTGGGACCCTCCGCCACGGTCCGGTTACCAGGTAGATGTCGAAAGTTCTCTGAAGCGTAGACACTCAACGGCCCTCCTTTTTCCTAGTGTTCACATCTGTCCTTTGCTCAGTAGCTTCTTTTTGCATGTTACTTCCACCGGTTTATTTGGATTCAGTATTTTAAGGAAATGAAAGTAATTATTCATTGGCATTTTCCCAGTATGATCATCTAGGTCCTTGGACTTATGAATCAAGTCTGCGGGTCGTTGTGTGTTTAAGAAACATTCATTCCCATTTGAAAGAATTCTTTTTTTAAAAAACAAATGTCTTTTTAAGACTCACTTCCCACACTTTCTGTGCTCTCCGCTTTGCTCTGGACGCCGGACACCGAAGTTGAGACCTACACTATCAGGGTCTGCCTGTGCCTGCTTGTAGAATTATAAAATAGAAGTGGCTTTTTACTTGGAGCTTGTTGGCATTTATGGATAAATGAGCCTATGACCTATCAAGTGCAGAATGTCCCAGTGTTTGTTAAAATAACGGTATTAAATCGCTGGCACAAGGAAATGCACTCATTCTCCACTGGGACCATTTGTGTTACGGTTCTGCTTAATTAGGATTTATGGGAACCGGCTGTGTTTGTTATGTGCTTAAACATCTTCCGTTGTTCTTGTACAGACGGGCACAGATGACGTTAGCAGGCCACTCTGTCCTCTGCCAAACTTATTTCTAAACAGTACGAGGAGCCAGGGGTCCAGCTGGCGCTGCCGGTGGACCGTGTGCCCGGCAAAGACCTGGGAGATCACTCAGTTGAGCACTGAATCACTGGGTTGTTTGTTTTTCTGTCTGGGCCCATCACTGACTCAGAGGAAATGAGACATGAGCAGGAGAACAGTTAGATGAAGACACGAGCCCAAGGGGCTGGGAGGGATTCTCAGGGTACTGGCTGTTTCCGGCCGAACTCAGGGGAGCCGCGGTTCTCCACGTCCCGGGCATCTGGGGGGAGCTTTGTGCCTCATGGCAGCAGGGCTGGTGCTGTGCGTGGGTCACCCTGGTGCTGTCCCCAAGCTTGCTGCGTCCAGGCGGTGAGGCCCCTTCTGGAGAAAAAGGTCCCTGGGCTGGAGCGGAGGCTTCACGCACCTGTTCCCACCCCAACGGTGCCCGGGGGGCGTGGCCTTGACCACCGCAGCGCCGGTCCCTCCGGGAGGTGGGCGGGCAGAGCAGGTGGAGGGCGCCCCGAGCTGGAGTGCTTGCTCTGCGCAAAGGCCATGGTGACTCTGGTGGCCCCGCTGCGTGCGTCCTCAGCCACAGATGCCGCTAGTTTCCCTCTGACCAAGGCCCACTGCCCGGGGGATGCCTCAGAGCAGAAGTTTAGCGTGAAGGGCATTGAACCTAGAGGAAAGCAGGCACGATCTGTCCTTCGAAAGACTCAGCGCTGGTTTAAATGGAGTCGCGTTTATTCTGCGTGCGGGACGGATGGTCTCATGCGTCTTGTTGCTTGAGCGGCAGCGTCTGTCTCGGTTGCAGGCTGCGTCCACCGTGGCTGCCTTGAGCTTCGTGGAAAAGTGCAGTCAGAATCGTAGAGCACACGCTTTTAAAAAAATCTAGTTGGGCTTTCAATAGCAGCTGAAGCTATGACATCAGTTGCCTAGTAGAGTTCTTAAGCATTAGGAGAGATTTGTGGTGGGAGCTGTCAGTGCTTCCCTTGTAAGCATGTATTTCTAAGGAACGGGGAGTTGATGAAAATGTTCCTTCTTGAACGTTTACATCTCAGTTTTTGCCTTATCTTTGCTTCGCAAATACTTTCTTTATGGCAACTACATTTTCAATATTTAGTAGACTCAACTTTTATTTTAAACATGCATTTGCAGCTATATCTAGTTTATTGTTCATATAAGTATAGAAAAGAGATTTGCAGGGCAGGCACAGATGTTAAGTGTGGTTGCCCGTGAGTAGCAGGAAAGGTGAGGCTTAAATTGGCTTCCGTGCGTTTTCCTGGCATTTCTACAGCTCCCATCGTAAGTAAATAAATGTCTGTGTTTTATGCACATTTGGCAGAAAGCACAAAAAAGCTTTTCAAGTATAACGGGTAGATGCTTCAGAGAAAGCGAGGTGGGTTTCCTTGGTCAGGCAACAGTGTACATAAGGTGCAGTGGCGATGGCGGAATCTAGAACCTTCCCTGCGCCGCTCCGGCCACTCGCAGCCCTGCAGGGCAAACTGACCCTTCTCCAATTGCTTCCGAGGTTGTACGGCTCCACGCTGAACATTGACCTGTTCCCGGCCCTCATGGTGGAGGACCTGGTGCCCGGCAGCCGGCTGGGGCCCACGCTGATGTGCCTGCTGAGCGCGCAGTTCAGGCGCCTGCGGGACGGCGACAGGTGAGCACAGCGCCCACGGTGCCCAGACCCCGCCTGCGCGGGGGACGGGGGAGGAGGGGCCGTCCTCGCTGAGGATGAGGAGGAAGGCTCAAGCCCTGTGTTGTTCGGGGACAGTGGCCGCAGGTGGCCGTCACGCAGTGTCAGGGCGTAACCACGGCAGTTGGGAGACGTTTTCATGTCCCTTCTCTTACACGCGTGTCTCTGCTCCCGGACACCTGCCGACGGTCCCTGCGCTGGAGCCACGGGGGGATCTCGGAGGAGGTGCGGCTTATGGCGAGGTGTTAGCTCACTCTTGAGCCAGCCTGACTGCTCTGGCTCAGTGTGACAGCCACCTGCTGTGACAGCCACCTGCTGTGACAGCTGTTTTTTTGACAGGTGGCCTTCCTTGTTGCAGGAGAGAGGAGCTAGGGCTCCCCTCTTGTCTGGGACGCTTTGCTTTCCTCCTTGTGTCTGAACAGCCCCTGCGAGCCCAGTATGAGCTGGTTTCTTGGGGACCACGGAATCACAGGCTTCTGCGTGAGGCGTGCCCCCCTCCCCCGCCCTGCACTGACCCTGCCCATTTCGGGCCCCAGGTTGTGGTACGAGAACCCGGGCGTGTTCTCTCCTGCCCAGCTGACCCTGCCTGTCTCGGGCCCCAGGTTGTGGTACGAGAACCCGGGCGTGTTCTCCCCCGCCCAGCTGACCCAGATCAAGCAGACGTCGCTGGCCAGGATCCTGTGCGACAACGCGGACAACATCACCCGCGTGGCAGCGGGACGTGTTCCGGGTGGCGAGTCCCACGGCTACCGGCGACTGTGGCGGAGGTGCCCGGGTGGACCTCAGGGTGTGGCAGGCTCTGCGAAGGGTGGGTGCTGGGCGCCATCCGCCAACGCCCGTCCTGGTCTCGGTCTGCAGGGCGTGGGGAAGGGGGCTGCGTTGCGAGCTGCGGTGCCTTTTGAGTGTCCACGGACGCCTGAGAATCGGGGAGCAAATACTCGGACCTGCAGGGGATCTGTTACGTTATGGGGTGTCCACGCTGAGGCACACTGCGGGAGCCAGGCTGTGCATGAGTAAGCCGGGTTTGGAAGGAATTTGTTATGACGTGGGAAAACTGAGTACCTGTGCTAAAGAAACGGAACCGCCTTAATAGAGGCGACTCCTTTTACAACCTAACATGTGTTAAATGCCGTGCCAGGGTGTCCGGCCTGTGGATCCGTGTCCACAGACAAAGGCAAAAAGCCAGCATCGGAAGAAGTATACGCAAGATGTTCAGATTTCTTTAAAAATTATGCTAATGATTGTAATGTCTATAACAACGTGCATGGCCACAGAAAGGAGCCATGGACTGTCTTCGGGAGGAGGGACAAGGTGCTGCAGGGTGGAGGTGGTCCTCACCCTTGAGGGGGGAGCTGTAGCGGGGGCTGCCTCGCACTCCCGTCCAGCCAGGGCGCGTGTCCTGGTTCGGTGGGACAGTCCTTGCCCACAGAGCCACTGTCCAGCTGCTTGCTGCCACCCCCCCAGTCCTCGTGGCCGTGCTGCCACTCTGCAATCCTAAATCACTCTGGGTTAGCCCTCCGTTCCATTTTTCTAGTGTGTGTGTAAATTTTTTTGGCTTTATTCAAACTATGATCAGAGCCCCGTAGAAGAAGAGGATGCCAGGGCCTGTTTGGAACCTGTGGTATAACATGTGCTGTGTGGTGAGGGAAACGAGAGGAGAGATGCCCATGGCCCTTGGAGCGTGTGGCAACCGTGGCTGCTCTGTGGTTTCAAAGAGACACACGCAGTTCAGAAACTCTGGCTGTTTTCTCCTCCGCGCATTTTTCCTGAAGTGCTAGTTTTGGTCAGGACTTTATTTAGTTTAGTAAGTGTAGAAATCTGCGTTTTTAATAGGGCTGGTTTTTAATAGCCCCTAAGACAGAATGTGTGTGTGTGTGTGTGTGTGTGTGTGTGTGTGTGCATATGAGGTGTGCGTGTGGGGTGTGCCATGTGGGGATGGGCTGTAGTGTGTGGGGCAGTGGGGGGTGTGCGTGTGGGGTGTGCAGTGGAGAGTGCGCAGTGTGTGGTGTGCAGTGTGTGGTGTGCAGTGGAGAGTGCGCAGTGTGTGGTGTGCAGTGGAGAGTGCGCAGTGTGTGGTGTGCAGTGTGTGGTGTGCAGTGGAGAGTGCACAGTGTGTGGTGTGCAGTGGAGAGTGCACAGTATGGGGAGTGCAGTGTGGAGTGTGCAGAGGGTGGTGTGCAGTGCTGAGTGCAGTGTGAGGAGTACAGCATGGGGCATGCAGTATGGTGAGTGCGGTGTGTGGTGTGCAGTGGGGTGTGCGTGTGGGGTATGCCATGTGGGGATGGGCTGTAGTGTGTGGGGCAGTGGGGGGTGTGCGTGTGGGGTGTGCAGTGGAGAGTGCACAGTATGGGGAGTGCAGTGTGGAGTGTGCAGAGGGTGGTCGCGGGGAGTGCTGTGTGGGGTGTGCAGTGGAAAGTGCACAGTGTGTGTGTGGGTGCGCGGTCTGATTTTATGTCTCCTCCTCTTCTGTCTCTACCCCATACATGTGTAGGAGAATTCACATAAAAAACAAAACTCTGCTTGCCATATAACCAATTTTCAAGTCATTTACATTCTTATTATTACACCTGTTGGAAACCTATATCTGTTTTTGTTCTGTTTTGTTTTTGTTTCGTATTTTCGCTGGTTTGTGAAGTTTAGAATGCTTTTCTACAAGCATGGCGGAAAACTCATTCTGTCTGCAGGAATTTGTTCTCTTGAACTCACTGGGGGGAGCCAGTTGATACTCTCAGACACAGAAGCTCCGTGTTCCAGCCGGTGCCGCTGCGTGGCGGGGGGCTGAGGCGGGAGGTCGCTGGAGCCCGGGAGGTCGAGGCTGCAGGGAGCATGGTCCTGCCCCTGCACGCCAGCCAGAGCTGTCTCCAACACACACACACACAGACCCAACACTCCATTTCCTGATAGCTTTGCCAGGCTACACCTATACCTGCACCTGTAGCTGCAGAAGCAGCAGTAGAGCCTGGTGTTCTGCTCTTTTGCTCAGAAAGTCCAAGGTGCTTGGACAGACTTTGCAGCCAGTCCCTGCACCGTCACGGTGTCTCGAGCCGCCGTCTCTCTGTGGGTTGACCGCTGGGGACGCCCAGCTGCTCAAAGCAGTCTCTGAGGTCGTTTATTCCCTCCTAGAGCCGCAGGCATGCCCTGAGCCGACAAGCTTGGAGGATGCTTGCTAAGCTCTCACCTGTTTCCATTTTAGCCCAAGGCCGTATCTAAAGTATTGACACAGCAGAAAAATAACAAAAAAGAGAACTGCGGTTTGACAGAACCAAATGTCCATCGCTGTCTCTTTTCAATTCACCTTTTTTTTTTTTTATTTTTTAACTTGGACATTGACTTGGAATCAATTCACCTTTTAAAAAAGACATGTAAAGCAAACTTCCTCAGACTGTGCCTCATAATCATTCCCGTGTTTTTTAAAAATCATACGTGATACCTGTGCACGTAGGAAACCTGAGAAGCAACTCCTGGGTAAATGCAGCCTCTTTTTCTTTGAACAGAGCTATGAACTTCTTTGTGGGGTTAATCATTTGTGAGGAAGAACATACACATGTGCACACCTGGATATGTGCTCTCACATGCACAAGAGGCTCACACACCCACGCACATGCAAGTGCATGCAGATACACGATTTTGAGATCATTGCAATAATTATTGAAAGCTTACAGAAAACTCACACTTCACCTAGATACATCGGCTGTACACATTTCACTATATATGACTCTTTATGTAAGTATGAGTATACATGTATTTATACGTGCATGTGTATACATACGTGTGCACTGTAATGTGCACACACAATGCAGATATACATGTGTGCACAACTACATGTGTATCTGTATTTGCACATATGTGTATGCATGTGTGCCCTGCACATATATAGTGCACGTGCATGTGTGCATATATATCTGTGTGTATGCGTGCATACATGTATGTTCGTGCATTCACAGGTGTGTATGTGCATGCATATGTGTGTGTGAGCATGTATATAATGCATATGTTTTTCTGAGCTAGCCAAGGAGGCTGCAGACATCATGCCACTTTACTCCTAAGTAAATCACTTAGACGAGCGTGGTCTAGGAAACTGTTGGCACTGCTCTTCCGAGACCACTGGTGGGCAGAACAGAGTGAGACGGACCTGCCTTCGGGGTCTGACTCGGAAACTGCAGAGTTAGCTGCAGAAAGAAAACACAGATCGTTTGGTGGAGTTGTCAGGGGCTTTGAAGACACCTGCCACCGCCACCACTTCGGTCCCGCCTCAGGAAGAAGTGAGTCCAGAGGGGAGCTGGAGGCAGGAGGCCAGCGGTGTCGGCTTTGGCTGGACTCCGTGTGCAGCGCCCACCCCGGGGGCTCTGTGGGTCTTTAGAATTTGAACGGGGCCACACTTGGCCTCGGCTTTCACTCTTCGCTGGCCCTTCCGGGCTGAGGGTGACACACAAGGCAGATGAAAACCCCGTCACTTTCCTGCATAGAATGTCATGGCGCCCAGGTGAGGCGCAGCATGGGGGACTCACTCACCTGGGGTCCATGTGACACACATCACTGATAGCCCCTCCCATACCTGGGACCCAGGTGACAGCACTGGGGTCCCCGCTCTCGGCTGGCTATAAGGTGTAGGCAAGAGGCCTCCGCTGTTGGGGGGGGTGTTTGGGTCCCTCAGGAGGTGCAGGAGTGAGGCCTGCAGGTGCAGTGCAGGTGGCTGTGATGCTCCAGACCATAAGGTCCCACCTGGCCATGGTGGGAGGAGCTGCAGATGATGGCATGATGGGCAACGAGTGTCCTTAACAGCGTCAGCTGTCCTCGGGGAGATCAGTGACTAAGAGGTTAGGGGGGCGGGGGCACAGGTGGGCTGAAGGCCTGGCCCCCAGGGCAGGGAGGGTCAGGTCCCGCAGACCAGCTGCTGGATCTCGTGAGGTCACCTTGGCCACGCCTGACATAAAGGTGCCAGTTTGTTCATGTGTGACGAGGTGCACTTAACTTCAACTAGGATTAGAGCCATCAACGCTGACTGCCCCTTTGTGTTGCCCTGTTAGACTGCAGGACCAGGGGCCAGTTCAACGTGTTTTCCTACCACTTCCGAGGCCGACGGTCCCTTGAGTTCAGCTACCAGGAGGACAAGCCGGCCAGGAAGACCCGCCCGCGGAGGACACTGAGGTGCGGCCGTCTCCGAGGGCAGGACCGTGTGGGAGGGGCCCGCGCTGGGGGACCAGGGGTAGGAGGACCACAGTGCGGGGACGTCCTGCTGTCCGAGAGACGGGCGTCCTGCTCAGAGCACCCGTCTCTGGGACAGCTGGTCTAACGTGGGTAAACCGAGTCTGCTAGTGACCTGCCGGGGCTATATTTTGCCCCCTCCCCCCGCAGTGCTGGGAAGCACGGCACACCTCTCGGCAACCTCACCTCCGCCTTCCGCGAGCACGCGAAGGGCCCAGGGACAAATGACTTCAGAGAGTTCGTCCAGGAGATGCAGAAGACCATCACAGACCTCAGGAAACAGGTAGGGCCGGCGGCGTCTCCCCCAGAGCAGTCCCGGCCGCACACGTGTGGCCAGCCTGCAGGTGCGACGACACACGGGCCCTGTCTCCACCCCAGGCTCTTCCCTTGGCCTTGCTGTGTCTGGGTCGTTTGGGGCTGTGGTCCTCAGTTTTCCTGAGGGGACACCTGAGCAGTGGGTCCTTGGTGTCACCAGACTGGGGCTGCTGCAGGAACGCTGGCTGCCAGACAGGACATGGCAGGAACTCGGGATCCCTGTTGCCGGGGACTCAGCCTGGCCGGGACGGGGGGGAGGGGGAGGTCAGAGGTGCATCCAGGTCAATCCTCGACCTGGGGCAGGTGTGAGGAGGGCGAGCCCTCTCTGAGGAGTTGCCATGGCTCCTGCTACTGTAGTGAGGCACCTGGGCCACCCAGATTTAGGATTTATTCTGGGTGCTGGGCTGCCACATAAAGCCAGCCGTTCCATTACCAGGAGAATAAGGAAGGTCTGAGACTGGGCCTTGCGAGTCACATTCATTCCTTTGGAAATGCAAGTTCAGGATACTTCCCTCATCTGACTCGTTCTCGCTCTCACGGTTCTTTGCGAATTCCCTCCCCCTTTGTTTCCAAGGCGCTTCCGTGACAGCTGGTGGGTCCACCCGCCTGTCCTGGCGCTTCCGTGCGCCCGTCTCCTGTCTGTCAGTAAACTCGGGAGTCCACGGAAGCTCTCAGACACACTCGTGTCAAACACGGTGCATTTTAAGGCATCGTTTCAAAGGAGGGAGCATCTTCAGCACAGGGCTGAGCCACGGCTCTGAGCTGACCTGAGTGTCCCTGCAGATAAAGAAACTTGAATCCCGGCTCAGCGCCACGGAGTGCCTGGACGCCAGCGGCGAGCCTCACGCCAACCACGCCAAGTGGAAGACGGACGCGTGCACGCTGTGCGAGTGCAGAGTGAGTGGGGGTCGTCACGCCCGGGACTGGGGGGTCGTCTCCACGCCCCGTCACGCCCGGGACTGGGGGTCGTCTCCACGCCCCGTCACACCCGGGACTGGGGGGGGGTCGTCTCCACGCCCCGTCACGCGGACCTGGGGGGGGTCGTCTCCACCGCCCGTACCGCCCGGACTGGGGTCGTTCTCACGCCCGGCGACTTGGGGGGTCGTCCTCACGCCCCGATCACACCTGGACTGGGGGGGTCGTTCCATCCCTGTCAAACCGGACCAAGGGGTCGTCTCCACGACCTGTCCAGCACCCCGGGACCAGGGGTTCCGTCCCACTCCCCTGTCACACTGGGACGGGGCGTCGATCTCCGATGCCCCCTGTCACAACCTGGCGACTACTGGGGGTCCTCTCCAAGCCCGTGTCAAGACCGGGACCAAGGGATCATCTCCACAAGGATGGTGCCCAGTCCAGGTCCCCTGGGTGCCACAGGCAAGGGCATGACCATATGCCTGGGCCGGGCGGATTTGGGAAGGACCGGCCAGGGGAGAGGACGCCCATGTTCCCCCCACTCCTCTCTGATCCGGCCGGCTCCCGTGGCGGGAGGCTGTGCCCAGCCTGGTTCCGGCACCTGCTGGGTTTACGGAATCCGCAGGGAGGTGAAACTGTGCACACGGTCCCGGCGGTGCAGGGTGGGGGAGGAGGGGGGGACCAGGGCGAGGCTTGGTGCTGCGCCCGCCCACGGCCGTCCTGGACCTGACAGCCCGTCTGTCCCCTCCAGGACGGACAGGTCACCTGCTTTGTGGAGGCGTGCCAGCCCGCCACCTGCCCGGCCCCCGTGAGAGTTGCAGGAGCCTGCTGCCCGGTCTGCTCACAGAACGCCGAGGAGGACACGCCTTAGCCGCTCGGGCCCGCGGGTCTGTCTGCCGGGCCGCCGTGACCCAGAGCTGGGACGGGAGCTGCCGACCAAAGAAACCCCGAACTCGAGCGTTGCAGACAATGCCTGGCTGGGCCGTCTCAGAGCGTGGGGGAGGGGCTGCTGGCCGGGGCGCCCTGGGGAGGGGCAGGGCGCAAGCCCTGGGTGAGGCAGACACGCGTCCTAACGTCACGTTAGGTTTCTCAGGTTCTTATTTAATTCTTTCAAGGTGAGAAATTGGTGCTACTATTAAATTGCACAGTTAAATCCTTTAGGCTCCTAAATTGATTTCACCGGACAACACCATCTCTTCCTCCGTAAAGCAGGTACTGCTAGTCTCAGTGTGCACCTGCTAGTCTCAGTGTGCGGTTCTGATGCTGGCAGGGGTCCCCGAGGGTGGGGCGAGCCGCAGGGCGGGCGGGGCTCCCTGCTGGGCTGGTGGGGCCGCCCCGCTCTGGGCTCTGCAGACTCAACGTCCAAGCCTAGGACGGACGTGCCCCACGCAGACAGTCGCGGACCCTGTGACTCTGCCCCAGCGACTTCCACTCCTGACAGTGGCATTAACAAGCCACAGGTAGAGACAGGTGTGTTTTGACATGTAGCTGCATGCACACTGCCCCGCATGTGAATACCCCCCCACCCCCCTGCATGTCAGAACCGCCGACACCCAGGGAGGCCAGCCGCGGGCGCTGACCCCGTCGGCCGCAGCTCCCCTTCCTCCCTTTCTGGAGCCTCGTTCCTCGCCAGAGCTCCGGGCACCGCTGATTCTCCCAGGGGGCGGGAGGAATTCCAATATGCGGAATTTTCTGGCTTCAGGTGTGTGTATTAAAAAAAAAAAAAAAGATGAATCCCTGTACCCGATTTGTATTTTTAAAATGCATGATGTTCTATGAACATTCACCCATTTTGTAGGTCTTAGATGGGACAGAGAAACCACTTCCACTATGCAAAAGTTCTTTCAGAATTCAGCGACTAGCAACTGTCATACCTCATGGGCTCCCTCTTTTTAACGAATTGGCCAAAAACTTCCACTTTGTTCTGAATACGGAGTGATCTGTGTTAGGAGAAATGGTTCCCTGGACAGGGAGGTTCAGTTCCACACACCTGACCTGGGTGCCCGCCCAGGGCCAGGCCCTGAGACGGGGACTGGGGGACGGCCGGGGCTCCGAGGGCCCCAGGCCAGGTGGCGGAGGAGGAAGACCTGAGGTCACAGGAGGTGTCCATAGTTGGTGGCCGGTGTCCAAAGCTGGTGGCGTGATGTGGAGACGAACTAGAGACAAGGCTCCCCTCAGCCCCCGCCACGTGGGGGGCAGGGGCCGTGTCTGGGGTGATTTGCGCACGGCCCACATTCTAGCACAAGCGCCATCCCCACCGGAAGAGACACCGGCACCTTCCTGCTCGAGACCCTCGCCTGCCGGGCACGTGAGCAGCCTCCAGCCGCGAGCTCTTCCCAGGGCCTCATGGCGTCTCATGTATGAACATGGATGTCTTGACTTTTTGTGTTTTCATGTTACTGACTAATAAATTAACACGGCTGGTGTCCATAGCGCACAGGCTTCTCTCGAAATGGCAAGTCATGTGTAGTGATCGAAGCTTGGGACAGATTTCTGTAAAATAGGGAATGTGCATGTTCGTCTGGAAGCTGGTGGTCACGCAAGTCGCTCAGGTGTGCAGGCGGCGGCGGATTCTCTGCTCCGGGAGTGTTTTGCCGTCTCACGAGTGCCTTGGAGACACAGGTGTGTCCTCACCGCTGAGCACACGTGGGGCACAGACGTGGCCGGGACGGGTGTTGGGGGACCCGGGGTCCCTAAGCTGAAGGGCGGGAAGCCGGCCGTGATTTGCAGAGAAATCCTGTAACGCGAACTGAAATGTCTGCGGAGTCACCAGATTGATGCCGTACGTCACCAAAACGGTGGCAGGGCCTGAGCGGACGCTCCACCCCTCCACGCCGCAGTGAGGGGACTGCCGCCAGGCGCAGCCACGTGTACATATCTGTCTACCTTCCTAACCGCTGCCGACAGCCACATGCCTTTTTTACGATCATTATATCCACTACTTTACCAAAGACGTGTTTGCACTGTGTAACGATGCCCGTCCATTCAAATAAATGGACCACATTTTCAAACGGAGATCTGCTTTTATTTATTTTTTTTACCTTAAACTGATTTACGAAGCTAGAACCTGTTCCCCAGGTGAGGTCAGGGCACGAGAGGGAAGGGGGTGGCTCCCAGGAAGAAGCCCGAGAGCTGTACTGGGCACTAACGATTTTATCTGAAATAGGTGAAAGATGAAGAGCATTATTCTAAGTGGGTCTGCCTTTTTCCAAGGAGCCAGGATACGTTACCTGGACTGAGTTTTAATTTTTTTTTTTTTTTTTTTAACATTTCAGGCAGGTGGGAGTTGAGCTCTTGGGAGAAACCTCTCGCTGCTGCCCCGGCTCCTGACATCCCGCGGTGGCCAGAGGCGTGGCCCGTCGGGGAGGAGCAGGTGGGGCAGGCTGCACACGCCCAGGAGTCCGTGGCGGGCGGGCTGCACCCCCAAAAGCAGGAGCAAAGATCCGGATGGGTGGGCACAGAGAGCCAGCGTCCGCACCACGGATCTGTGCCCATGTGGCTCTGTGGCCGGAAGCAGGTCACTACCTGTGACGACGTCCATTCCCCGGGGGCTTGGGTTGGGTGGAAAGAGGGGTTTCCGCTCTGAGGGAAACCGGGGAGGACTTTGGTATCTGTGTACAGCCTGGAGAACCATACTGTCTATGTAATTATCATAAGAAAACTTAACATTAGGTAAAAACTAAATATTAAGTTGTTAAAATTGCCAGATCGCTAGAGGATGTGCCTGAATTCTCCCAGCCTGACCACACTCCCGTGGTGAGCTTTCCTCTGGCCAGCGTGGTAGTGCGTGCTCCACTCCTGTGTGGTGCTCCAGCCTTTGGCGTGTCTGCGTGCCTCTTGAAGGCACCTCGCTCCTGCTGGGGCCTCCGGGCAGTGCTGGCAGGGGACTGCCACCCCCAGTTGCCATGGACACGCCAGCGACCGTAGCAAAGGCAGGACAGCGAACGGTCGCTGCATGTGTGTTTATCGCCATGAATACACTCAGACCCCAAACCCTGAGGCCTTGACACTCGCCTAGGATGTTTGCATTTGGAAGGTTCCAGAAGCCCCAGAAATGACTGCTTTTTTTATTTGTGAGATTTGTTACAAATAGTCTCAGGCCAGCATGTAATCCCAGCACTCTGGGAGGCCCAGGCAGGAGGATCGCTGGAGGCCAGGAATTCTGCAAGAGTACAAGTCCACCTCTGCTAAAGATAGAAAAATTATCCAGGTGTGGTGGCATGTACCTGTAGTCTCAGCTACTCAGGAGGCTGATGCAGGAGGATCGCTGGAGCCCAGGAATTTGAGGCTGCAGTGAGCTCTCAGGAGGCCACTGCACTCTAGCCAGGGTGAGAGAGCAAGACCTTGTCTCAAAAAACAAACAAAAAACCAACTCAGTCTCTATCTGCTATTATGACAGAGTCTGAGTTTTCTTGTGGCATAAATGATTGCTGACATCATCGCCACATGCCTCTTCAACTGCACCCTTCCCATCGTTCGAACTCGTTCTCTTGCTGTTGCACCCTCAGCGAATCAGGGCACACACTTGGGGCACACGCTTGGGGCTCACCGCGTGAGAAACACGCAGCTGTTTTTGCAGGGAGTTCCTGGGAAACGTCCCTGTTTACATTCTGTGAAAACCGCTGTAACAGAAAGTATCTCCGAGAGCAGCCCCTGGCCGCCGTCCCTGCGGTTCAGAGCGCGCAGGACGGGACGGCACAGGACGTCTGGGGCTGGGCCGGCCTGTGCCGTGGGCAGCTCTGGCAGGACGGTGCGGGAAGACCCGCATCTGGGCCTGTCGGGCAGGGGGGTCGCTCGGCTCCGCCAGCCCCTGCGCCTCCCTCTCCCACGAGGCAGGAATCGCGGGGCCCAAGACTCAAACCCAGGTCCGACGCTGAGACCAGAACTTTCTCCTTCCACGGCACTCGGGGAAGCTGAACAGCTGCATTTCGTTAGAGCCGGCTCGCTCCGTGCTTTGCCCGAAACATGGATGGAAATGCTTTGCTCACCGGACGCCCCTCGTGGGAAGGACAAAGCTGTGGGAATCCGAACGCCTGAAGTCGGTTTCCCGTTTGTGCTCAGCTGCCATCCCCGACCGCAGTTCATGGAGTCTGTGGCTTCGCCAAGGCCCTCGGCACCTGCCCCAGCACACACTTCCAGACCCCCTGTCATCCCTGTCCCTCCTCACGGCGTGGCCGGATTCGGTGGCGTCCGGAACACACTTTTCCCGCTGTCGTGGCTATGCCCGGCCCGTTCTCTCCTGCCCTCGTCCTTGTCCCTGAAACCTCCCTGCCTCCCCCCGGGGCGCACCCCTCGGTCCACGGCGACCACTGTCCTGGGGTGTGGGGGGTGCAGGCGGGCGAGGCCACGTCTGCTGAGCTTCGTGGCCGAGCAGGAGTGACCCCCCGGCACACCAGGACAGCTGTGTCCCCCCGGCTGCAGGATAGAGGCTGCAGGACAGGCACACCCCCGTCAGATCTCGATCTCCAGCGGTTCTCAGCTTGTCTACACAGCACTGCTCACGCCCGACTCCCCACGGCAGAGCCTTTGCCTGTCCGGTAGCAGCCCACCTGGGGATGTGAGGTTGGGGTGAGCTCTGCCCTAGCTGCTGATTGAGCCCAGACAAATGAACCCATTTGAGCCTCAGTTTTCACCTACAAAGTCATCTACCTAATAAGAATTATTTTAACTAAATAAGATAATGTCAGGGAAAAGGAAACAACAGAAAGTGTGCAGATGCGTGAGCTGCCAGGAGCCTTTTACCGAGCAGAGCCGAGCCTGGGCCCTGAGCAGCCCCTGTCTTTGGGGTGATGATCGGCAGAAGAGGTCGTGGGGGAGCCCGGTTCTGCCACCCAGGACCTGGACACGTGTGTGGTCACTGCCGCCTGTCTGCAGAGGGTGTGCTCGGGCCAGACTGCCCGTCGTCCCGCCTGGTGATAACTTATTTCCTGACGGCGGGATACAAAGAACAAGCATATTTCCTTTCCTAGGGCGCCTGAGTTAGCAGGATGGCAGCTCGTTGGGCCGCTGGAAGGTGCGGGACAGATGTCCCGTGGCTGGCGAGGCGGGGTGACCCGCGAGCACCCAGCGTGGGGCAGGTCCCGGTGTGATTTTAAGTGCACGTTCACACATAAACGTATTTATCAAACACACGTACAGCTGTTCACTGACACGTGTTC